CTCTTCAGAGCTTAGCCCGAAACCACTTCCTTAAGGAAGCCTTCTCTGGCCCTCCAGAAGAGAACAAGTTCAGGTTCCCGCTGAGTCTTAACACCAGAAGTTCTCCTGAGCACATCAACGATGGCATGTGTATGAAGCTGTCCAATGCCTTTGTCCCCTCCAGACTGGAAGCTCAGGGGAGCAGGGGCTGTGTACCTTCTTCACCGCGGAGTCTTTAGAACCCTGCAGTTTGCAGAGTAGTTATTCAGCCAACACGTGTTGGATGTCTGGGTAACTTTCAGTGTACCGGAATATTCCGTTAAACAGAGCAGTCGCCCTCCCAAGCCTGGTTACACAATACTGTGCTTAACCTCGTAGGCCATTCAAATAACTTTGGCAATTTATTTTCTGTAGAAAGACCGACCTCCACAATTTTGTTTCATTTGATTATGAGTATCAATACTAGCTTATGTCGCTATCTTTTCATTTCACTTTAACAATCTTTATTCCTCTTGGAAACCTGTGCTGACTAAACTACAGTTTTAAATAAATAATCTTTTATTTGTAAAAGACTGAGTCATAAGTAGGCAGAATCAACCCATGCTTTTATTTTCATTGCATATAAAAATTTCATATGAAGGTATTGATGTACAGTACTATCCCCATGGGCTGTAAGAGAGGCTAAGAAACCACTAAAAGAATCGTCATTTGTAATGCTCACACACAAGTTACCACTCTGAGAACATTATCTAAGGAAATAAAATTAAAAACAACTAAAATCAGTAACGAAGGATGTGTTTTTATAATCATAGTGTCCCCTTTGTACTGTGTAAAATAAAAGTAATCAAATTCCTTTGGGCCAGGGCTGCTAAAATCTACAGTTTGTGTCAAAAAATAAAACAAAATAATAGAAGGCTCATTTTTCCAAAAAAGAATCTCTCCTTTCACTAAGCCATGTTTTCTGAGGGCTGGGCAGCAGTGGAAGAAAGTTTCCACATCATCACTGTGAATTTTTCATAGCTTTTTGGCGCTGGCCATTGTGAAAGGTTACATTTTAAAATTCTAAAGCAATATAAGTTTTACAGAAACAAATTCTAGAGAACGGTACGTCCTTTATGCTATGTCAATTGGTATTATAGAAAACGTTGTACAGACTTACATATAAAATATTTGGTTAATATTCGTTGAAGAAAAATTCCAGGGTAAAAAAAATGGTATTTTTCATATTGTATCTTCTCTGAATATGACAGGAAGCTGATGAATGAATGATTGACCAGCATGTGAGAGCTTCGGCTCTAGTTTCAAATCCAATTCACTTGCCTACGTGCTCTAGGTGCCAAAAATACGTTTTATAATCACCAGACAAGACTATTTTCCCAGTAGCGTCTGAGAGTAGAAAACAAACGTAACTAATTCAAGATGAACCGATGGGGAAAACAGCCATCCTACATACAGGGCTGCTTGCATGGCAAGGAGTCCTTAAGCGCATGTCTCAAAAAGGGTCTCAGAAGCTTCCAGAGGTTGTCTGTGGTTTTGTAAAATCTAGCTATTGCCAGAAAACCAACTGATTCAAAGCTTGGATGTAAAACGCCCAGCCCTAGCCCCACCATAACCTTACTTTCAAATGCAGCAAAACAGAAGAAAATATTGGTTAAAGTTAAGGCACAGCCCTGGGACCAAAGACCTGCAGCTATGTTTTTAAATTTATATATCTTTATGTATTTTATAGTTTTTCTTGAATTTTCCATAAACAAGCTCTAAGGTGACAAGACTATATTACAGGAGAAAAGAAAATGTACAAGGAGTATGTATACACACCATTCATTCTCTCACCAAGAGCTTCCAAATATATCAACACCATCCCATCATGGGATGATGTTTTAATAAGAACTGATAATTTACAATTAACATTACAGTATGTACATTACAATAAATACATGGTTGTAAACAGACAAACAAGACTGTATTACAGGTAAGGTCATTTGGTGAGAAAAAAAATGCATGGCACAAAAAATAAATAATGCATCCAAAAATTATCATAAAGCTCTCTGTGAAACCCATTTCATTCAAGTTTTTTCCTTATCTGCAATTTGTTCTATCTACATTATTCTGTTGTGAATTTTAAGTGATGTAAAAGAAAATAAAATTTAAACAGCATTATGTTTAGTAACTTGCAAGCTGAAATGTACTGGTTTTATGCAAACTTGGACATTTTTTCCCCATACAGTACCCAGGTATTGCATTTTCTTATGGCATTTTAGGAAACATAAAGCCACTTGTGAAAGGATGTTATTTTTAAAGCGGTGTATAATTCTGAAGCACACTTGGGCGAGAGAGAAGGGGAGAGAAAAAGGAGAAAGAAGGGAGAGGATAAGCAGATCGTACAGTGCATTAGTCCCTGTCTCTTGGATATTATGCATTTTCTATAATTTGATTGTCAATCAGTGGGTATCTTCACCACATGTGACCATTAAAAACCAACAAATTGAAAAAAGAAAGCCTCTCTTTTTTAGTGCAGTTATAAACCCTTTCAGGTCTGGATTTGTTTGTGACATATTGCTGTTTTTAAATTTTTTTTTCATTATTAAGATTCTAGGCACTCTGTGGGGGAAATACCAAGTATTAGGGAGACGAGGGTATGAGGGTTTTTTGGAAAAAGGAATAAATCCTAGATTCTTTGCCTTTTCTTCTAGACCTCCAACAGGGATAAATAAAACTAAAACAGAAACAAGTTTCCAAGTGTTCTTGCGAAACCACCTGGACGAACACAGGGCATTATTTGGAAGTTTACTGTCTGATCTTTACAGGGGAAGGAGGGTGGAAATCTGATCATTAATTAGTTGATTCCTATTCTTCTCTGTGTAAAAGATCAGAGCTATGTAAGCTTTCCATCAGCGGATCTTCGGGGGAGTAAAATAGGAGCTATATGCAGGGTCATTTCCCTGGCTGATGACTTAAGTTACTAGTCTCCGGAAGGCTCCCTGCAGCATCCCAGGTATAAATGTTTTTCAGGGTTACACTTTTTCTTAACTGTTTTATTTATTTCCCATTTAGTCAGATACCTCCCTTAGTTCTATGTCAATTCTTAGATATCAATGTGAAAAATGATTAGTTGGGTTCCAAATGCTTCACAGAAAAGGCAAATACTTTATTAAGAGCTGAAATGGGTAGAAAGTCCACACTAAATAAATGCCCCAAGATGCCAGCTGGAGGTAAATACTGGGAATTAATCTCTAAAATTGGAATAGAGTTCTTGGTGCTAAATTCACTGAAGAGTGATCTCTAGTTTTTTATTTCTGGAGAATCTTTTGACCCAACGCAGTATTTTGGGAGGGGATTTCAACACCAAACTTCTGGTGCTAGTGGCAGCATCGACTCCTTTCCCTCAGTATAATTAAAGAAGTTCTCCTCTATAGGACATGCTTATGAACCAGTGATAGCTGGCAAGGCAATTCCCACTTGTTAGTACTTGTCCATTAATAAGGGTAGTTGCTACACTTAAAAATCACTTTTCAAGAATATCCCTCACGTAGTTCTTAATCCTATGGTAAAATCATAGAAACAAATGAGCATTAGTTGTACTGGTGTTTGTGAATATATTCTGCTAATATTTTAAAGACTGCCTACCTGTTAACGTTTCTCTGTAAATCAAGAGTAAAAGCTAGTCATTACACGTGACCTCGCAATAGAAACGAATGCTAACTCTAACCTGACTACCTGTTTTTTTCCCCCATCAATCAAAATGACAACGATATAGCCGATAAGATCCTATCTAGTGAAGGTGGACAGAGGCTCAAACACACGCTAAATAATAAGGCAGCACAAGGAGCCAAAGTTTCTCTTGCTATAACTGACTGTGGAAACAATAAAAATGAACAGGACATATGTGGGTTATTACAAAGACATGCACTTGTGAAATGAGGGTCTATTGACATAGCAAAAAGTTACCAGAAGACACTAAGTAGGAAAATATCTAAAAAAGACTGACCATTTTAGCTACTGGGTATTTATATATCTCTCATTTGCTTCAGACAACACCAACTGATGATTGAGTGTCCATGAGGCTTAAGACACATTAGAAAGAACATACATCAAAGTATTACTGAACATTCACTTTGCACACCATGAAGGAAAATGTCAGTGAAGAGCAACTCTGCCTATCTGAAAAGAGTGAAACAAAAGGTGAAGTAAACGAAGACCTACAAAGAGTTTCTTGCAACATAAAATTAGTTTTTGTTTTAAAATATGGAAGTCATTGGTATATAAAACAATGAATCACTACAAATCAGTTAATTGCTATGAACTATAAGGTGCAAGTAAAATTCGTAAATTAGATTTATCCAGTGTAGCACAGATTTGTACTGAAAACTTGCAAGTTACTCCTTAGAAAAAAATAACCAGTGGCAAATGAAGTTCTGAACATAGTTTTTTAAATATAATACCTCAATACATTTAATAATAAAAGTAAGCTCTACAAAAAATCTGTTTTACATATCATACAAAATGTAGAGGTCAGTGCAGCTCACTGAACCACACTATTCAGTCATGTATCAGGAAGACTTGAAATTAGAAAATTTTGTAATTTCTGTGGCTCATCTTCCTCCTGGTAACAGATTCACACTGTGTCTTGTTCCTGACCCATTTGTTGCTTCATTCGTTAGTTCACTGCCTGTGAAATGCCTTCTTTCTGCTGAAAATATTGCAAACAAAGAAAAAGAAAAGAAATCCCAAGTCATATCAACTTCTGCACTGCCAGATGAGCCACGCTGTCTTGGAAACATTTTGGAGTTGGTTTTCTCTGCTTTGTCAGCATTACCAAGCTGAAATCTTGTTAAAACGCTGTTCGTGAAGATGTCCCCCTCGCTCTGATGACATGGAGGTGAAAAAACTGGTTACAATATTCCTGAGCGCCAGACTGAGTAGTCAAGGTCAGTTTTGTTCAACAAACGTCCTGGCAGATGACAGTGAGGTGTGACCATGGTTGTGGCATGTGACATGCACTTTGGAAACAATTTTTCTACTAAAAAAAAAAAAAAAAGGGCATGAAAGTCTTTTGCACTGTTACGTGTCAGGACAATGATCATCTATTACACAGGCTTCAGGCTGGCTTTCTTCCTCTTCCTCTTCTGCTTCTTCTTCGACCTGCTCATCAAGGGGTATTTCGGTGGACTCCGAGTCTTGAGTACAGAGAGTCTTGGAGTCACTGCAGCTAGTGTCTTCTTCTACTTGGCTTCCACTGTCCTTTTCAGTGTCTGACTCGCCATCCTCCTCTAAAGTGAGTTCAAACTGGAACTTCTCGGTCTGACCCTGCCGGCCCTCCTCCTGGTCATCAGGTGCTGGGGAGGGGCTCTGAGGAATTGTGCTCTGGTACCATTCGCGATTGTCCTCCAAAGTGTCCAAAATGTCCTGGGCATCAGGATGTACAAGGTCTGCCCATGTCTCCCAGAGAGGATGAACGATATAGTCTATGAAGCCCACCTAATTAAAAAGAAATCCAACTTGAGTTCAGGACTTAGGACTAAGAAATAATGGAATAGCCAATTTATAGGTAAATCGAGCTAGCTGAAATAATGTCATGTGCTCTGTGTTCATTCAGATAACACACTGTTTTACACCTATGTGAATATAGTCATTAATGAATATAATGCCGTAAGAACATATAAATGTATGAATATAAATCACAATAATGAAAGACCTTGTTGGCTTATAAACACTAGTGTAAAACTGAGCTTGCAAAAATAAAGTATGACAGTGGTACCTCGGTGCTCGTTGTTAATTCGTTCTGGAACTTTGTGGTGTCGAAACCTATGAATACCAAACAATGAAGCATTTTCTCTCATGGGGCGCCATAGTGACTCACACAAGTTTTAGCAAGTGCAATGAGTCCCGAGCAAGGCCAAGTGCTGAAATATGTTTTTCTCATCAGAATGTGAGGAATATAAGGTTTGACGAGTTCTGAAGCCCAAGAGTACCGAGGTATGACTGTGGTTTAAAAATCACTTAAAACACTGTGCGATATGGATGCACTGGGATGAAATGTTGAAGCTGTAGCTTTGTTCTCTCTGAAAGCTTTCTACTGTATGCCTCACCTGTGATTTTTCCACAGAGGCATTGTGCTTGTCACACATGGGACTTATCTCCATGCCCCGCTCTCTCTCTCGGTCCCCCTGGCGGAAGAACTCCTCCATTATGCGGTCCGTCCACTGGCGGTACAGCTGGAGAGGCTTCGTGGGGTTGCTCAGGTCCGCACAATGCACCATGTTCTGGAGGACCTAAAACAGACCAACGCTTTCTCTATTCAGCACCTGCTCCTTTTTTTTTTTTTTACTAGAAATTCACATTAAATGACTGTGACAATTAAAAATACAGGTAGTGTAAGATTTATTCCAAACAGTTCAACCATGATGTGTCTGTGTATGGTTCGCACTTATATTAATAGTCCCAAATTATGCCAACTCTGCTGCATTTAAATATCAAGAGAAACTATGTGCATGGATGGTTAGATTCAGAGCTGCTTAAGTGGCTGGTTTTATCAGATGGTACGGTTTTTTAAAAAGTGCATATACAAATGAAAAGGCCAATAGTATTTTATCTGGTTAATTCTAAAGCTAAAGAATTTGGGTAAGATTCCTGGTTATAATTACTAAAATAATTAGTTGGGAGAAAGGAGATATAAATCTTATCAAAGCTAGATACATAGATGCATGTGAACATTCAAGTAATGCTTTACCTGAATCCTATCAGAATAATTATCGAGCAGAAGCACTCCAGAACTTGTCACTTTCTTAGTTTCAACCATCGTTTTCAAATCAGCCAGTAGATTCATGTGTTTTGACATGTCCGTTGCAAGTACCTTAAAAACAGAGGGTATTTTATTAGGTAAAAAAGTCCAGAGGCAAAAAGAACTTGCAAATAAAAGTATTGCGCAGAATACTTTTGAAATGAGTAGAAGTGAGTGAGTGAGAAGAAATGAAAAACCACTATGTCATCTAATAACAGTGTATGGAAATTCTTTAGTACATTCTGGGGCAAGGTCTTTTCCCCTTTGTTATCAAGTTTTCTGGAAGTCCAGATATGTGTGTGCCATATATAGAAATATTAGGCATGGACAGCCACTTTTATGATGAAAAAAAAAAAAAAGAAATGGCATATCCATGGTTGAGACATCATCACATGTTTTTTTCATTCCTTGGAGTAGAAAGCAGTCACTAGATGATGATGAACTGATTGAATACTGCTCAGAGTCCTTCAGGAACCAAATATTCTGGGCAATTTTTTGCTTACCCAAGAGAGTTAATTCTTTTCTTTGTATATGCAAAGCTTAACAGAATACATTTTTTGATAACTAAAGATTTTCCTGTGTCTTGGAATCACTGTGAATAATATGCATAGAGAAAATATTAAAATCATGGATGTTTTCTGAATGGCTGTCTCTGATGGAGATTCCCCTGCCAAACATTTTTGAATTAAAAAATTCAAGCTATGGCAAGCATCCTCTGCTCTCGTGGTCATCTACACTGCCCGTCACCAGGTGAGAGTTCAGAAAATAAAACTAGAATGACGGGGGTAAACTGTCATTATGCTTAACTTCAAATTGCTAGAAGTTAAAACAGAAAACCTATGACAGAACATCATCGCTAGCAGCAGGGGCAGCTCCTCCAACATAAAGGGAAATGAGAGGTTTTAAAATATAGTTCCTTTCACCTAATACTCATTATTATTTATTTTAAAACAATTTGCATCACAGTTCTCTTTTTTGCTTATACAAGCTACTTACGATATCAATGACCATTTTCCTTAATGATTGTCTTTGCTTTTTGGTCAAATTCTGGAAAATGTCACAGTTTTCTTCTTGAAGCAACTTAAAGCCTACGGCCAAATGATGGTTCTCCAAGACAGAAGAATCGTTGTACATCAAGGCAAGTTCAGAATCTTAAAAGAAAGACAAGACATAAGATTAGCAAGGCCATTTATTCTAAGCTTATCTTTTTCTTCTGAGATGCTTAGGGTTTAGGATGCAGTTTCCTCTAAACATCCCTGTTGGCCTTACCATTCCAGGACAACACCAAGGGGAGAACCTACTGGTCACTGGAACAATGGAAAGAGCACTGGAATCTTTTGAGTGAATTCTAACGCGACTGACATGTGGCAAGTCATTTCACCCTGGGGGGCCTCAGCTTTCTTTTTTCTAAAGTGAAAGAAGAATTGGAACAGATGGATCTTAACCTCCCTTCTGGAACTGCCATGGGTTGTGCTATAAGCTCAGCAGAATATGACACTACTCTTAACATCTGTGACATGCCCAAAGCATGAGGTGCTGCGTTCCTGGTAAGTGTGCAGTAGCCACCCAACATTTTATATAATGTAAAGGTCATGGGATTTAGGATTGTCTGTACTCAGGGAGGGTACAGGAACAGTTTGGAACACACACACACACACACACACACACACACACACACACACACACTCTATTAGATTTGTTCATTTTTATCCACAGTATGGCTTTGAAATAGCAGCTTTATTCATTTTTCCATTTCCTTTTCCAGCACCATGGCAGTCACTATACAGATTTGTGGTGTCCCTTCTACCAGCACGTTCAGGGCTTCACACAGAGACAGATGTCAGGCTATGCACATTAACTGCATGCTGAGGATGCTGCCGCTCTCTCACAACTGCCCCGGACTGTATTTAGCGAGGGAGACATCCTGCCTCCTTACTAGTTCCTGTAAACAGCAGACCCACATATTCAAGAGAGTCATTAAAAAAGTTGATTGGTACTTTAATCTGCCTCCACTTAAGTCCTGTAAAGACTAAAAGTGCATGTGCTTGATCTCGTTACTGACTAATGTACAGAAAATATATTTGAAAATATATATTCTTTTCTAAGAAAAAAATCCAATAGTACTCAATGACTATTTTAAAGGGGCTTGGGAGAAGAGAGGGTTAAGATACATTCCTACTGTCAAACCTATGATTTCATCAGTACTATAGAAATAGGAATTTATTCGTTGAAATTTTGGCTCCCAACTATAGAAAGAGAGATGTCTTAAGAGCGGTAATGTATGTATGATATTATTGCCCCCTCTCCACTCCTTCTCTCTCCCTCCTTCTCCCCCTCCCTTCCCTTCTCTCTCTTTCACTCTTTCTTTCCCCCCTCCCCTTCCTTCCCCCTCCCTTCCTCCCCTTTTCCTTCCTTTCCTTCCTTTTCTTTCTTTCTTTCTTTCTTTCTTTCTTTCTTTCTTTCTTTCTTTCTTTCTTTCTTTCTTTCTTTCTTTCTTTCTCTCTCTCTCTCTCTCTCTCTCTCTCTCTCTCTCTCTCTTTCTTGATAAAGCAACAGTGTTCAGTTTTTAAAAGTCAGTATCTGGTCAATCTTTTACATAGTTTATAAAAGCATCTAACTATGAATATCTACAGATAATTAAACATACAGAAATAAAAAAATTTAAACTATAAAAGATTGTAGCACATGATATTATTGTTCCTATAGTAGAATCTTATTAAATAACATATATTGAAAGGAAGGCAAAATGTTTTCTGATTGGAGAAATAAATCCAAATTAATCTATTATGGTTCTTTTAAGGGAGCAAAGTGCATGTGGATAAGGGTCATTAACAGAAGAACTGACTCTGGCTTACAAAAACCTGGACTAATCTATGTGTCCTGTGCAGATGAAGAAATTCAGGCCACTGAGCCTGCAGACTAAAGATGAGGAGCTGTTACTTTAAGGAAGAGGCTGGTCTGTGGTATGAATGCTGAGACAAAGAATCTGAATTCTGCTCAAGGTAAGGATGGCCTTTCACAGAGAGGGCTGTCCAGGAGCCCTAGCCAAGCCTGCTTAGGGAAGCAGTTAGCTCCTGACATTTAACAAGAGTCCAGGCTGGCCAGAAAGAGCATGAGACGATTCCTCATGGCGGGGGGACCCTCTACTGCCTCTCAACCTCTGGGGCTGTTACACATAGGTGTTGGTGACTGCTGAGTTTTAAATGAATGCATGTTAGCATTTAAGCAAGTCTGAGGGGAGACATTTAACTTTCTCCTCTCCTTTAGGACTGAGGACGTGTGGTCACATCTAAAGGGGCGGGGGTAAGATTCTGTAGTTTTTTAGTAGATTTTCCCCAAAGGCGGCAATCCAGCAGTTCTCTGTAGATTCCTTAAAGGCTTAAGAATCATCAGAAAGTTGCCTTCATAATTTGCTATAAGGTAAAGTAGCACAGAGGGGGAGAGAGGCTCCTTTACACAACATTTTTGGTGAAACCCTTTCATTTTTCCAATGCACAGTACGAGTCGCCTCTTCCATGCAGCGCTTCTTGATTACCACGGGCAGAACGGCCCACTTTCTCCTGTGATGTCCTATATACTTTGTTCCACTCATCTGGCATTTACCATGTTTCATCTTATTTTTCATTATATCTGCACAAATCTTAACAGTCCCTCCCAAAGACATCCCAATTGACTTAGAGGCTAAAATCCCTATAAAAAATTAGAAGTTATTAATATAATGTGCTTGGTTATCTGGTTTCTCCTGGGCATGTCTGAACAAAACACTCTTCCTTGAAATGGGGAAGGGAAGTAGTGATTTTAATTTAACATCCAGTGGCCAAGGACAAAGGATTAAACTGCCTGGCTCACTCCCTCAGTTTACTCGCTCCTTGTGCCCTTAACCTGCATTATTTTTCTCTGCCCTAGTTAGGTCCATCTGATGTCGTACATTCACGTGTTACGGTCAGTTTTTTCTAGCAGGAGGCAAGCTCTTCAGAGCCAGGGCTTCGTCTTATTCACCCATGTATTCCTAGTGCTGGGACAATGCGTGGCACAGGGTATACCCTCAATAATTTTTTGTTGAATAAAATAATAGTCTATGCAATTATTTCTATATAATCACATTTGACAAAATTGAATTTATCCTTACTTTGGAAGGATTAGATTTATACAGAAAAATAACATTCTACATATAATATACAGATATAGCTATGGAAGGCTTGTTTTAAAATGAGACTAGGGAAGTAAAATGTGTGTACTGATAGCTAGATCTGGCTCCACCTTAATGCAATGAAATGCCTCTGCTCTTGGAATCAAAAGCTTTGAACACATGAGTCATGTGAGTAAATCTTTCTCCACCAAACTTAAGCATCTTTGCTAGAAACAAAAATTACTCATTTTCCAAGTAATACTTAATGCTACATAGATTCTGTGTTTTGAAACTGCTTTATTGTTTCAGAAAACAATGCTCTGAAGTTAAATGCCTTTTTTTTTTTTTAGTGATAAATACCCTCCAGAACCTTATATTCAAAGCTTTATGAAGTTATTTACATTTTATGGATTTATTTACATGTGTTGTCCTTGTAAAAGGCTTCCACAGCTTCCCACCTGGAATTTCAACTTTAAATCTTATTCATATTCTCCCATATTCCTAAATCATTTATAAAAGCTTAACGAACTCTGCCAGATAGAAATGATCTGTTGTTAAAACCTGCAGCATGTTTACAATGGGTGTACATATTATTAGTATCAAATCATTTGGCACCTAAAATGAACACAAGGAGAACAATTAATGGAAACTGTCAACGCAGCTAAGCAGCAGAGGTGTGTACCTAGACTCAGAACCAGACAGGTAAGCCCCAGGGACTCTCTACCAACGCAAGCCACGCACCCTCAGGGAGTCTTTGTAGCCTCTTTAAAACAGGACAGGTGACCTCCAGACTCTGGGTGTATAAACCTGATGATTAGAAGTCTTTAGGATTTTTTATTAAAGGAAACGTAGATTAAATCTTCAGCAATGGACAAGTTGGCGGCACCAGCTCTAAGGGGCTAACACTGTGCTAGTTTGAGCTGCCGATGCTCCATTAATCCATGAAAGAAAGAGAAAACATAAACTTAATGTTTCTATAAAAAAGAGTTTACTGCAAACTAAAAATAACCACATGATTTTGATGGTGTATTTCAGAAAGCTATTTAAGTTTACAAGTTATTAGAGGGACTCCTTTCCAGCATGCTGTGAAGTTAAAATTTATTTGTGCTACTGGCTACTAAGCTTCCTCTGTGTCCTGAAATAAAATGCTTACTGGCATGATCCGAGTCAAAAGCTAACTACGGCAGTAATTCTCACGATGCCCTGGGGCTCTGACCAGCCCTGCTATACTGCCACGGACCAGATGCTGAGCTGATTCATTCTCGCAGGGACAGCACAGCCTCATCAGGCCCCACCCTGGAGGAAAGAGCAATCTGCAGCTGCTCTGGGAACTGTTCGCCTTCCGGTGTTGCTGAGGTCCCACAGAAAGGAGATCATAGCAACATTACTGAATAACAAAATACTTAAATAACAGGATGAGTTATCCTTTTACCTCAAGCAAGTCATCAGCAAAAGTCTTAAGTAGACAGCCCTGGCCACTGTCGTTGTATTTGTAATTCTCCCCTAAATTTCTGTATTATCTGTCTCTGTGGGTTGTGACCTTTGGAGATCATCAGATTCATGTGTTAACTGAGGGCCTGCCAGCTTCAGTTTCAGACTCCACGTACCCTGAAGGTCACCAGGGTCCTCCCCCAGTGCCAGCCTAAGCCCATTTGCCCTTAGAGGGTCCACAGTAAAGGATAAAGCTGGTCCTCATTAGGAAAAAAAACATTATCAGAGTACCTGGAGAGAGAGACTTTATTATCAGTTGTTTTAATTTTTTCTCTTATCTTTTCTTACTAGAATTATAACAATTCTAATGTTACAATAAGGGAACATATAATGTTGTATATAATAGGATGCAAGAAACCACACACACCAGTCTGAATTTTGGGTGTTATTAATTTCAATAAAAAAAAGCTTTCTTAAAGGCAAAAAATTAAAGCAAAAATTTTATGAGTTTGTTAAAAGCCTATAAAATGAGGAACATATCAACATATGTGTAAAAATCAAGATAATAAATCAGTGCAGGCTGAGGAAAAGTACCAGCGTACGCTCTGTTATATGAACTCGGTGCTCTTCTCAGAAAGGAAACAGTCAGTCCTAACCCCTAACGTGTATTACTACTTATGTGTTAATATTTAGTTAACGCTTTGATGGTTCCTGAAGGCACTGTGTTATAGGCTCTTATAAGTAGCTAGAATATGAAATGTCCTGTCTAATCTTGGATGAGTAAGTTTATAAATCAAATTTACAAAATGTACTTGGCTAGCCACACATTTTGGGAAATCCATGCTTTTCCTAATCTTTCTATATGTGAGTGAGTCAATGAAGTGCACTTTGTTTAATGGTGGTCCAGAGGCTATTAAAAGATACAAAAATAAATAGATCTAAACATCGTAAATATTCATATATTTTATGGGATACAATAATAGTTTTCAGAACTAAATTACATTAACATACACTCTCATTAAAATGCATATTTACACATCTCAAAAGAACTTTATGGCTCTGGAAATACCTACAAGTATATAAAGACCTGCATTCTAAAGTATACAAAAAAAATATATCTTCTGCAAAAAAAAAAAAATTAATTCCACTTACTTGTATTGATCAGAAACTGATTTGACACACCAGGATGATCTACATCATGTATTGCACTGGCAAAAATTGCTGCAAGAATCTCCAAATCTGTAAACACAGCCTGGAAAAATCAGACAATATAGATAATATCACTATTCTGTAATGACACAAATTAAGGTTTAAACAAACAGGAAATTATTCCCTAGAATTTGATGGAAAACAAAATGAAGTTTCAAAACATATTATTATAATGTGTTGGGAAGAGTCCTTTAGAAGTCATAAACTTTTTAAGTGTAATATTGGAAGAAAATATTTTACCTAGTATCATTATAACTTATGATCAAAACTTTTCCATTGGTTATATGTTTTTAAATATTGCAAAAAGAGTATCTAAAATTATTTTTTAAAGACAATAATGAATAACTATTTTCTTTTCCTTCATTCAAACTAGGGTTTCTCAGCTGAAGCAGAATTCACATTTTTGGCCAGATAATCTTTGTTATATAAGGTAGTCTGGTGTATTGAAGGAATTTTAGCAGAATCCCTGGTCTTTAACCATGAGATGTCAGTAGCATATACCCCTCAGTTATGACAGCCAAAAATGTTTGCACATATTGCCAAATACCCCTGGGGGTGGTAGGGGAAGGAGGAAAAGAAAGGAATCACTCCCAGTTGAGAACCACTCACTCAGATGATGAGGTATTAACATAGTTTTATAATGAAAACAATCTGAACTATAAAATATATTCGTGAAAAAGAATCCCCAAACAATCAAGGAAATAAAATTGCTTAAACAAACATTTAATGAAACAACTTCTTAGGATTTGGCAAAATTAAAGTGTTTCCTTCTAATAAATTCTATTAAAAAAATCAATGTATTGCTTCTATTTTAAAATAATCATCCTTTGAACTATAAATGCAAAAGCCACCAAACTAAATTCCAGAAAAACAAATGAAAACTGAATAAGCCAGACAGATGTGCTTTAAGGACTGACCACCAGATAATTTCATGGAAGCAGTGTGATAAACAGATGAATCTCTAAATGTCTGGCCAACCTTTCACAGAGAAAATCATCAGACTATTTACTTACCACCACCGCATCTTTTCCTTTATAACTAATGCACTTCCAATGAAGCCAATTATTTTTTGTATGCATACCCTTTACTATAAAATATATCTTGATGAGTGTCAAGATAGTATTCTCAAAGTTTTAGAAACAAGATTTACCTCCAAAGCCGGTGTAGATAACAGCACATGTGTCGACTGGACAACGTCGGCAGCATGAATATTGTTGTGGTAGGCCACATCAGCGTGGTAATGGTCTTCCAGGGTCATAAGGTATGTAATTAAAGTGTCTACTGGAATTTTAAATGTTTTTAATAAATCCCGTTCCTGTAGGAAAAAAAATCCTCTTAACATTTTGTCCTTACATAAAAATACTTTCTGTAGTGTGTTAAAAAAAAAAAAAAAAGAAAATCACACCTGGAAATGGAAATAGCATTCTCACAATGTCTAGTGAGGAAAATGGAAATCTTTGGGAAGATCTGAGAACTTACCTACTTACTTACTTACTTACTTACTTACTTACTTTATTTATTTATTTATGCATGCGTGCATGTGTGCCAAGGTAGGGAACTCTGGTCTAGGCAAAAAGTTCTTTTTTAAAAAATTGATTATGCTATTACAGTTGTCCCAATTTTTCCCCCTTTGCCCTCCTCCACCCAGTACCCTCTTCTCCCTCTGGTGATTCCTCTTCCTTTGTTCATGTCCATGGGCCATGCATATAAGTTCTCTGGCAACTCCATTTCCTATACTTGCTCTTAACATCCCCCTGCCTATTCTGTAACTACCAATTTGTACTTCTTAATCCCTTTTATCTTTTTCCCTATTCCCCCACACCCCTTGCTCTGCTGGCCACCATCCCAATGTTCTCTATTCTATGATTCTGTTTCTATTCTGCCTGTTTGTATAATTTGTTTTTTAGAGTCAATTGTTGATAGCTATGTATTTATTGCCATTTTAATGTTCATAGTTTTGATCTTCTTTTTCTTAAATAAGTCCCTTTAACATTTCATATAATAATGGCTTGGTGGTGATTCACTCCTTTAGCTTTACCTTGTCTGGGAAGCACTTTATCTGCCCTTCCATTCTAAATATAGCTTTGCTGGATAGAGTAATCTAGGTTGTAGGGCCTTGCTTTTTATCACTTTGATTACTTCTTGCCAGTCCCTTCTTGCCTGCAAAGTTTCTTTTGAGAAATCAGCTGACAGTCTTATGGGAACTCCTTTTTAGGTAGTCGACTACTTTTCTCTTGCTGCTTTTAAGGTTCTCTCTTTATCTTTAATTTTTGGCATTTTAATTATGATGTGTCTTCGTGTGGTCATCTTTATATCCATCTTGTTTGGGACTCTCTGTGTTTCCTGGACTTGCATGTCTATTTCCTTCATCAAATTAGGGGAGTTTCATTTTATTATTTTTTTCAAATAGGTTGCCAATTTCTTGCTCTTTCTCCTCTCCTTCTGGCGCCCCTGTGATGTGAATGCTGGAATGTGTGAAGTTGTCCCAGGGGCTCCTTAACTACCCTTGATTTTTCTGAATTCTTTTTTCTTCTTGCTGTGCTGATGTCTTTTTCTTCCTTATGTCTCAAATCATTGATTTGATTCTTGGCTTCATCCACTCTGCTGTCGACTCCCTGTAAATTGTTCTAAATTTCAATTAGTATATCCTTCATTTCTGGGTGGGTCTTTTTTATGCTGCTGAAGTACTGACAATGAATTCCTTGAGCATCCTTATAACCAGTATTTTGAACTCTGCCTCTGATAGATTGCTTATTTCCATTTTGTTTAGTTCTTTTTCTGGAGTTTTGATCTGTTCTTTCACTTGGACCATGATTCTTTGTCTCCTCATTTTGGCACCTCCCTGTGTTTGTTTCTGTGTGTCAGGTAGAGCTGCTATGACTCCCTCCCTGTCTTGGTAGCATGGCCTGATGTAGTAGGGGTCCTACAGAGTTCAGTGGCACAGCCTCCACTATCTCCCAAGCTGCATACTCAAGGTGTGCCCTCCTCTAGATGAGTCTTGATTGCTGTCAGCAGATCAGTGGGAGGGATTTAGATCCAGGGACTTCAGGAATAAACCTTGAGGTGAATTGTCCTTCAGAAGCCTAGCAGTGCTTGACCTAAGATATGTGGTCTGAGCTGCCAGCTATAAAAGTGTCTGTGTTCCATGATCATGAAGTTAGCCTTAGTCTAGTGCCATGAACTCAGCAATGAAGTAGACTGCACCAATTAAAATGCAACATCCTTTCTAGGGCTGGAATCTGCCATACCAGTCCCAGGGTATCTACAGCCTCAATTCCTCATTTAAATCTTAACCATGCACTGGGACAAAAGGAGCTCAACAAGAGTGAGAAACTGGTGTGAAGAAGAGAACAGTTCATGAAACTGAAGAAATTACGTCCAAAGACTAGTCAGTAGGGGGCTGGTTCATTTTTTCATAGTTAGCACTCCATTCTCTAGGTGAGTCAGGGTCATGTGGATGATTTTTTAAAAAGATTTTATTTATTTATTTTTAGAGAGAGGGGATGGGAGGGAGAAAGAGAGGGAGAAAACAGCAGTATGTGGTTGCCTCCCATGTGCCTCCTACTGGGGACCTGGTCCGCAACCCAGGCATGTGCCCTGACTGGGAATTGAACTGCTGACCCTTTAGTTTGCCGGCTGGCACTCAATCCATTGAGCCACACCAGTCAGGGACACATGGGTGATTTTTAAACTATTATTTTAATGAATTGCTTCAATTTTCCCACACCATATCTTTTTCTTAAATGGGAAAAAATGAACAACACTGGTTTATTTGTATTTTGCCCATACTTCAACCTTTCTGTATTCTTATTATTTCCCAGGGAAAGGGGCAAATAAGGAAAAAATACATAATATGCAAAAGAGGGTGAGTAGTAAAGAAGATAAAATGCATGCACAATTCACTGCCCAAGACTGGGCATTAACTCACAAAATAAAATGAACTTAACCACATTACCTGAAAGATGGTATGCATGATAACAGTCAAAGGCCGGTTACCAGACAGCTCTGCTATTCTAAACACATGAAGACCCCATTTGTTCACATCTTCTAGTTCCTGGGGTAAAAGAGAGACAGAAAAAATTAGAAAGCAGAGGTAGAACATGAAACAATGAACATATTCATTTAAAAATGACTGACTTTAATGAAAAGATTATTAGATTTAAAAAAATGATTCATTTTAAATGTAATGGATGCACCATGTAATTAAGTACAGGCACACTTTAGGCAAATTCACATAAATGTACTAAAAACTGAATCATATTGTTTAACCTCATGCCTTTGATAATACAACATATTTCCATACTTTCAATATAAAATTCAAGTAATTTCTTCAATAGATAAAATCCGTTCACAAAAATTTTATCTGTTCTCCTAAAAACAGAAGAGATAATAGATTTCTAACTATTTAAACAATAAAATGTAGAAGCAAAAAGGAAAGAACACACATCTCAAACCACCTATGTAAATCCACATATTATAAAACCCAAATAATTTAGACAGAGCTTTATAAATTGCATGCCTCTCTTCACACTCCCCCACCCCCGGATGATAAACTTGTCCATCTACTAAGAGAGAAGGAATCAAAATTCATTAAAGGCATTGTTGCACATTTAGGATCACGATCCTCAAAATTTTTCTTACCTTGGCAAGGACGTCCTCTTGTTCAGTTTTAACCCCAAACCTAGGGATGCTTGAATTGGTCAAGCTGGAGCTGTGCATCAACTTTTTGACCCCACTGATCTGAGACATTGGCCTTTTCTTTTTCTCCTTTTCCTTCTGAGTTGGAGAAGGAATTTCCACTTCATGTTGCTTATCTTAAAAATAGAGAAAATATCCTACATTTACTATTAATCCTACATGGGCTTTTTATAAAAGCATAACACATATAACTGGACAGGTTTTAAATTATCATTATATGTTCCAGGAAATATTTCCAGGTAAAGCTCCTTTTGGAAAAGCTGAATATTTACAACTTGATGTGGACTTAATTTGATATCCCAAATTAAGCATATAAATCTCACTGGAAAATAATTATCATCCAGTGTATTAACTGGTTATGTTTTTGATACGATGCCCTAATTAATTTTTTTGAAACACTTATCATGATAGTAAACTTAGAAAAAGCAGAACACATTGGTTATTTCCACTGTTCATCAACTCCATTCCTATCTGAAATTCACTTAGTGGCTTCAAAACTGCTCTTTGCCAAATAAGGACTCCTGTTTCAATACGATTTGGAAATGGGAGATACTTCCTGCATAAATACAAAAACAGCAGTGTAAACCTGACAGCTTACTGAAATGGATCACACTGTGGGTGGCAGTCTATATAGCTTATCTGAATCACTTAGATTGCTTTCACTGTTTCACATTTTCTCTACTATAGTGAGATAGGATTTATGATATAACGAGGTTTTATGTAAAGCACAGAGAATCTCCAATGCTATCTGATAAGTGAATATCAGATTCACAAAAGCTGTTATTTTCAAATAAAAGACACAAGATGTATCAGCACATCAGTCCCCGAGGGAGTGAGCTCCTCTAACTGATCCTTGCACATAGTGTGTGCTCAATAAATATCTGTTTAGTGAATATACGAGTAAGCTATCTGGCAATTTGGTTTTGAAAGTAAAGTCAAACGAAGGATATGTTCAAGTTACTGATGTTCACTTACTGCATTTTTTTTTTTTTTTTTTTTTTTTTTTGGTGAATGGGGCTGTGGGAGTGGTATTGTCCCAGTACACAAACTCTCAGCTATTGTGATCAGCAAGCTTTTCTTTAGCAACTGCATTCTCTCTGTCCGCCTCACCAGTTTACCAGGTGCACTATCCATTAGACTATCAACCCACTGAGGGCAGGGAGCATTTCCAATTTATCATTAAATGCCTAGTGCCCAGCAAATGCCTGGCACTGAACAAGAATTTGTTGAATGCATGTATAGATCTCTCTAAAAAATACATTTTGCAGTTTAGAACTTTGGAAAAACTGGCAATATATAACTTTAATTCAGAAAATCCCCCAAAGTCCTGAACAAAACTGAAATATAAAAATTGTACTTTGTCACTTGAGGTTCTAAAGCTTAGAGGCTCAAATTATTAATATAATGAATAAAAACAAATGAAATTCATAACACTTGATTTCCCAAATCAGCTGGTACCCCAATCCACCTTCCAAAACAAACAACCCAAAAGGAAATTTAAAAATTGTACTTAAATTGTTATTCTCACCTAAGAATGTGTTTGATATATACTCCGACACTTGATTTCCAGACCGACTCATTTCAGAGAGATGGGTGAGCTCCCGATTAAGCATCCTTTTAAACTGAAAAACAGATAAAATAATAGAAGGTGAAAACTTAAGTGAAAGAACATAAGCATATGCTATGATACAGAAAATATGCCCAAAGAATTTTTAAATATTTTAAAATTGTCCTGACACTTTAGATAGGTGCTGTCCAATAGAACTTCCTACAATGATAGAAAAAGTCTATAATCTGTGCTGTGCATTACAGTGACCACTAGCCACATGTGGCTATTGAGCACTTAAAATGTAGCTAGGGCAAAAGGAAGCTAAGTTTTGATTTTTATTTAATTTTAATTTAAAGGACATTAATAAATAAGGTGTTATTAGTACTTAGAGAAGAAAAAACCCCTAATTTAGAGGCACACAAAAGGCTGCCACACAATAAAACATGGTACATTTTTTAATCATTTTATTAGAAGAACTGAATATGTGTATGGGTCAGACGTTAAATAAAATGTAGTTTTTTACCCCTTAGAAAAAAACAAACAAACTTGAGTATTCTTCCAGAATTACGGAGAAATAAAATATTTTAATGGATAGTATATAATGTTTCCTTTAAAAATTTTATTTTCCAAGTAGGGAATATAAGATTTATTGGTTCTCAGCATCCACAGAATTTATCAGTCCATTTCCCAAGGTCACATTTATACAAAACAGGTCAGTTTTCAATATGCTAATTCATTACTTCATAGTTGCTTTTACTGATGCCATGGTGCCTATTTTATCCAAAGAAACCCTGGGATTTACCTGCCAGCACCACCTGGCATTCAAAACCAGAATTCTCAGAGATGCTCTGCTTTCCCAACATCAGTTGCTTCTAATGTCTTCCTTGGACTCCCCAAATTGCCTAATTAGGCCTTTTACTATACCTTAATATTTCTCTTAACATACAGAAAAATACATTATTTTTTCTGTATATAGAGGAACTATCTGATTGGATACTGGACCTAAAAAGTCACATTTTATTCTAATATCTAGTTGCCTTTAAAATTTTGAACTTCACCATAAATTATCATTTAAGTCTGGGGAAAAGACAGCAGTGATCTGATCCTTTAGTAATGTTTAAAATATAATTCTAAGTCAGTATTTAATCTGTTTATTAGGATTTAAAAAACCCTTCCTTTCCTGCATAATTCATATCACAGTGTTCGAACTCAGGATAATTTGGCAAATTACTTCCAAAGTCAATCTTATTGAACATATAGATTAGGTATAAGAATTTATCACCACTGAGCACTGAGGAAAATCAGTAAAAACATTTCAATAGACTACTGGATACAAGAAAGGCTTATTAGCATTATCCTGCAGCCAAAACTGAAGAACTGGCCATCCCAATGCAAATTCTTTTGGTTGTTAATTTACAAGTATAGAGAGCTTATTCTCCCAGTTAGAAATATAAAGTTCACTTTCTTTGTTCATGCACTTTTTATTAATTTGTCCTGATGAAAAATTGCACATGTGATATAGAAATCTAGAAAGCTATATAGAAAAAAACTCAGAAATCATATATATCCTCACTGCTCAGAAATAACCATACATAATTAGCAATATATCCTTCTATGCATTTTTTCAATTGTATGGATGTATATTTTTTGAACCGGCATCGTGCAGTGTACAAAACATGGGTTGTTAATTTTCACTTATAATTATATTTCATGATTCATTGTGGAAAAACTAAATTTTAGAGCCTTCTAAGAATACTCATGAAGACATTTACAATAGTGTTCAAAACATTTTCTGTCAATCTTTCATAAAGTTATGTTTTCTTGAGTAAGTTATAGGCTACAAACTAAATTAAATTAAATGAGCTACAAACTAAATGAGCGCATAGAAAGTGCCTTATATTTAGTCCGGCACATCATAGGTGCTCCACATTATTTGAGCTCTTTCTACTTCCCTGGGCCTTTTAAGTGATGGCTTATTTTTATCATTGCAGGACAAACAGATGTCAGAGCTGGATATAGTTATACCCATAAAAGTACATATCTAAATATCTAGCTCCCCTACTCATTTTAATAAATAATTTAGGATATTATCCATATAGGAAATGGTGACAGTGCTTCAAAAATATAATAATAATATGATGCACAAGATTCAAAGGTAAGTAAATCCTTGCTTAACTAATAAAATTTATTTCTGGAAAAAATCTTTAGGCAAACATGTTCAAAAGAGTCTGCTAAACATTTTAAACATACATTTAATGAAATAACTCTGTGACCTGAGATGGTCCATGCTATGAGCTAACAGTTGCTATGAAGAACTGCCTGGTCAGGATGGAGTCTTTTTTATAGGATGGGAATAAGCAAGGCTTTCAGCCACGCTTGGCCTCTCTAGAGTCTATACAGGAGCCACACTGACCACCTGCTCTCCATGTAACTCAATGCAGGCTTGGGGGTGGGGGCTGGGAAAGTCTGATGGGGAACCAGTTTCCTACAGAACTACCTGCTAACTTGTAAGCACCATGGTATGAGGAATATGCTGCCATATGCTCAAGCTGAAAAACTGCATGGGCCCTGCAGATTCCCTACACAAATGCTTGAATTTATTTGGAAAGTATAAAGAATGAAGTGTATTTTCCTGGCAGTTTGCTTATATAAGTCATCAAAATAGCCTGTCAGTACACATAACCAAGGCAACGAATGCCAGTGAAAGGAATCCATTGTGCAGACTGAGAAATTACAGATTGTGCATTCCACTGATTATTTTTGCATCATATATATTCCCAGACTACTCTTCTGCCTTTGTTCAAAATCCAAAAGCATGGGGTGGAGAAATCCTTCAGTGCGCACCCATCTCCCCACCAAGGTGGGCGAGGTGCTCCAAGGAAGTCAACATTTCCTTTAACATAATTGTAAGAGACAACATTTTAAGCAGTCCCCTTTCTTCCCAAGGGATAGGGTAAGGGAGATCTCCCAAAGACAGTCTTCAAAGAGTCAATTAAGTAATAACATAACATTTCTAAAAGGAATTAAAATAGCCTCCCTTTTTTGCTACTGATATAAAACTTTAGAGTTCAGGAAGCTAAAATAATAACCACAGTGCTTTCCCGACTGGCAGTAGATATCATAATCTGGTTTTGGAATGTATAACTAGATATAAAGAACAATAAACCATTCAACAACCATTCTTAAATGTAAGTGGGATTTCTCTCATTTTAAGATTGCTACATATTATTATTTATGTAACTATATAAAACTACTATCAGGGGGCAAATGAGTAGAAAAGGCAATAAAATGCATTTCTCCTAGAATACTGTGATGTTTTCAGTTTACAGATTTAGAGGAGATAAAATATAGAACTGCTTTTCAAAAGAACTGGTTGCAAAGTGCAGAACAATTTATTTGAGCTTTTAGGTATTTTTAAAAGCAAACTCTAAATATTTTCTGATGATGAGTTATTTTGATTGGTTATTATCTAAATAGTCTGAAATAATAGATAGAATCCCTGCTGCAGCAAAGCAAAAAGATTTCTGACTGAATGCTTTCAGGCTTTTGTCCTCATTGTGCACCCAGTGTCTGTGTGCAGCACTGAGAGCACAAAGGAGAGACATGCAGTTGAACTGAACACTGTATTTTGCTTTTGAAACTCCAGTTTCTCAGTTTATATTCTACATTCAAGACTGTTGAGGAAGTAAAATAAAATAATTAAAAATTTGAAGTATTCTTACATTTAATCCCTTTATTTCTGCATTCATGCCAATGAGCTACTGGGTCCATTATATATTCTCCTGGTATATAATTAAGAAGGTGGTAAAGGTCAACATTTAGAAAAGCTTATTTCTCCACCTCATAATATTCTGTTAAAAATCATTTAAATATGCCACACTGTAATTAACTTCAAGTTTGGTAGGTATCAGCATTAAAAGCTAAAATAAATGCTGCATTGGCTGTACAATAATAAATCATTTAATCCATATAAGGCTAAATATATTTATATTTGTCTTTCTTAAGGGCAAATATTTGTCCTTCTTGATATTATGTTGTTTTTAGCAATATAATATTAAAACATAAACAAAGCTACCCAGCGAAAATTTTCCTCAAAAATATATGCGCTAAAATTCTATACTGAGATTCCTAGAGGTATTGTTCGTAATCATAATACAAATGTGAAAGCCTTCAAACTGTATCAAATATGAACTATCTAAGAGCTAAGAGATGAATTCTAGGAGGATTTTGAGAGTTTCCTTTATTACCCTTTATACCTTCCTGTATTAAAAAAAATTAAGCCAAGAAATGGCTAGCAAAATTTAAATGAAGATTTGCATTAAAATAAAACAATAAACATTTTTGACTACCCATAGATTAAAAGGGAGGTGGGGAATCATAACTACTTGGTCAACTAAAACTTAATTAAGTTTTCTTAGAATGCAGGTAAATCTCACAGCAAAGAGTAAATTTTCCTTTAAAAAGAAACAAAGAAAGAGAAAATATATTTCAGTCTGAGTTTTAATGTAATGAAAAGGATTCTTAAAAATAATGCGTTATTGTGATATACTCAAACATTCAAGAATAAATTTCAATTTCTGAATTGATGCTTCATTTAGGACTGAAAAAGGTTTTTCTACTTCCTGCTTCTATTACAGCGATTGCCAGGCTAATACTACCAGGGGTCATGCAAGAAGCCTGCCAAGCAGGACCACAATTTTTATTTAATTCAGTGTATGAATCCATTTCTTCAGATTTACAAAAATAGCAGTATCACAGAACATACATTTCTTCAAGGTTTACAAGTAGATAATCAAGTTTTCATTTTAATAATATATCACTTAAAAAGTCAAGTTATGTCAATTTTTAACGTCATCCAGGTCTTTATATTTAAAGGTGAAAAAAACATACTTTTCATCAGGTTAAACTAGTACAGATTTTTAGAAAGAGCCACTAATTAATTTTTTATAAATTTTAAGTGCTACCAACTAACTGGAACCCATACACCATTATAAGTAATTTTACACAATAATTTATTACCAATGGATTTATTTAATTACTTTGATATTTACAAGCATAATTCGAATCCACAAA